CCCATGTACCAAGTGCAATACATAGTACATAATTTATTTTATATTTATAGCAACTCAGAAATTAAATATTTATTGGTTATCCCCATTTAAGATACAAATCCGACTGAGCTTTACAGTAGTTATAACTAGTCTAAGGACACCAAAAAAGTAGATTTGAATTATTTTCAAATAATTTTATGGTTACTTTTGAAAATCCATTTCCTATTTCATCAGTCTGCAGGGCTTTCCTATGTAATAGCATTGCATATTTATATATGCTGTATTGAATTGCCTCCAGCTTTAAGAATTTTTCAGACTTCACTAAGGAAAATATCCCATTATCTCCTGAATTTCATGGTTTAGCAACACAGCACATAAAATCAAGATACTCCATAGTGGAAAATAGTGTATCTCATTCCTGAAACCAATTTAGGAGTACATTCAACATACCTCTTATAATGGTAAAAATAGACTATGAAGCAATTCTCAACCCCATAAAATGGAATCAGTGCTCATTCCAGCCTTGGGTCCATCACATCATTAATATGTCTGAATTTTAGTAAACAGTGGGAATTCCAAGACTTTAATAAAGGCCATCAAATTCTTTTCAAATCTTGTAGGAACAATGAAATAATCTACTTTATAAAAGAAACAAGCTTTAATCTTGTGTCTGAACAACAACAAGGAAAGCAAATCTATGAATTAGCAAGAAAGTCTTAGAATAGCATATTTAATCATTATTGCAAAAGAGAATGCTGTTCTTGGCCATCAAAGTTGAAATAGAAGATTCTATATGCAATGATTGTATTAGAAATGTTGATAAGGGGCATTTTATAGTATTGTTTTTAGACAGAGTAAATTCATAAACATGGTATAAATGACTAGTCATAACTCTATTTCTAAGCAGTGAGTAATTAAGAGAAACATATGAAATAAGTGAAATTATCCTCTTCCATTTTGATTTTCTTATGAAACTTCCAAATATCATTCCAATCAATGGGAAGATCTTTGTTAACTCTACCTTTGCAAGTTTGATTAGAATTTTTTTAATCCCACAAAACAACAACGAAAGTGAAATCTGTCCAATAATGTGTTTTTTTCTCCAAATTATTTTTCCAACTTCTCTGCCAAAGCAAACACATGGTATGTGTTAGTCAGCTGGGTCTGCATTAATTCATCAGTTGTATGAACCACCCTGATTTTGTTGCCAAACCTATTACACTAAACCCCACTGTTTTTAAAACTTAACTCCAAACATCCTTTTAAGCTTGCAGAACATTCTAAATGCAGCTTAAATACACACTATTTTTAAGTTACTTTTTTTGTTTTTTAGGAAACTTTGGGAATATTCCTCTTGGATAAATCCCACATTATAAGTTATTTTGGTACCTGTTAACAGAAAGGTAAAATACAGCCCGTTTTTCTTTTTGGCACAAAGGATAGAAAAAAGGGAAAGCTTACTTTATTTTTGTTAAGATTTTTTACAAATATTCTCAGAAGCAATAAGAGCTGTTAGAATAGTTTGAAAAGAAATGTTATCAGATGGTTGGAATCCAGAATTTTAATGCACAAATATGCATTTTATTCTTTCTCCCACAGACTTGTGTCACTGGAAAAGTCACTTATTTTATCATAAAATAAAAAATACTCATTCACCCTATGATGATTTTAACCCTCACTTAAGGAATGTTATATTTATTGCTGTCCTAGATCTTCAACGGTAGGGTTGATACTGACAATTACCATCTCCTTCTTTCTGAAGAAAAGAGAACAATAGCCCTTTCCATGAATAAGCATAAATTGTTATGATAGCAATGAAAAAGCAGCTATTTAACAACCACGGTATGAATCTTTTCAATTTTCAAAGGTTTTATCCTCAATTTATATCACATTCTAGCATTTAATTTTAAATTAAGTAAATTTCAATTCAAGAAACCTGAGATTTAGCTACCTAATTTGGATATTGTATATTTCAATGTAACCTTGTATACCAACATCTCACCAGAAGTCAATGACTGAGAATTGCAGAAGATAACATTCACAAGCCTTCACCCCTATATCCCTTTTTACTTGGATCTATTCCCACCTGCTCTGTCTTCCCTCTGGTTAAAATGTGTGAACTCTTCACAAAGGCCAGCCTCCCCACTTACATTCTGATCTCATCTCCTTTCTCCAATACAAGAACATTGTTTCCACAATTCTCACTTCTCTTTCCTACACAAGTTTTCTACCTCCTCTGAAATGTTCAATCAACAGGTAAAATGTTATTCTCCCACCCAAGAAAAACAACCTCTAATTGTCTCATTTCTTGTTTCCTCTACTCTAGTAAATAGTCCAAACATCTCCTTCCCTTTAGAAGAAAATGCCTCAAAAGACTGTGCAAATTCTCTCTTAAAACCTCTCACAAGATTATCTCCCACCACACCACTGGAACTGTGCTTGTGGAGGTCACCAATGACCTTCACGTTGGTAAACCCAATGGCCGCTTTTCAGTTCTTATGTTACTTGATCCCTCAGCAGCTTGTGACACAACTGGTCATTCCCTCAGTCTGTAAACATTTTCGTCACCTAGCTAATGCAGTCCCAGTTATGCTCCTTCTTTACTGGCCATACTTTTCATTCTCCTTTGATGTTTCCTCTTCATCTTTCCAACAACCTTTAAATGTTGAAATACCCAAAGGCTCAATCCATGCATATCTTTTATGCTCCCACTAACTCCCTTTCATCCAATCTCTGCTATAACTAATGTCTCCAATTATAGCCTGACCTTCTCCCCTAAACCCCAAGCCGGCTTACATATTATATCTCCACATGGATGTTTAATAGATATTTCAATTTACCATGTCCAAAACTAAGTTCCTCATCTTCATCTGCAGGTGCTCAGAGAAAAACCCTTTATAGTTTTCTCTCCCAACTCACATTTTATCCACAGCACATATCATTAGCTTTATCTTCCAAATATATCTAGAAACTAACCACTTTCTAGTATTCCCTCCATTAATCACTATTTTAAGGCCCCCTGAATTATTGTCAATAGCCTCCTTAGTACTCTGCTTCCACCTTTTCTCCCCTTCAGTTTCTGCTCAACACTAAAAACATGTAAGTGGATCAAATCCTTCAGTAGCCCTTATCCTAACCAGAGAAAAGTCTAAGTAATTGCAACGGCTACAAGGTCCTATGCAGGCTGGCTCCATGTGCCTTTGTGATCTTATCTTCTACAATCCCACTTATTTACTCTGCTCTAGTCACAATGGCCTCTTTGATTGCCTTGAATTTGTTAGGCATTCTCCCACTTCAGGACCTTCACAATTGCTATTTTCTTTCCTGGAATCTTCATCTTCTAAGTACAACCATGGCAAATTTCTTTCAGCTCCTTCAGGTTTTGACTCATATATTACTTTCTCGGCATGTTCTTCCCTGAGCATCCTACTTAAAACTGCAATCATCCTTCTGTATACCTTCTTACCTCTTCCCTTGGTTTATTCCTCTTTGGCATCATGATAACTTAAAACACTGTATAATTTACTTACGTAGCTTCATTTCTGTCTCCCAATCCCCACCTGGCAAATTCCAAGAGGTCAGGGCTTTTATGTGTTTCGTTCATGCCCATAAACCCAGTACCCAGGGAGCTGTTTCAAAGATAACAGTTGCTCAATAAATATTTGTAACATAATTATATAAGGAAGGAGTAGAGTCTATGGTAGTTAAAAAGCACAGGTGTCAGAGTCAGGGAGATCTACATATGAATCCTTGTTCTGCCTCTTACTAAATAAGCAATTTACCTTGGAGAAGTAATTTCTCTGAACCCCAGTTTCCTCATTATAAAAAGGATATAATGGTACTTAGCATTGAAAATCATTTTTATAAAAAAGGATGAGATCTTGTTATTTGTGAAAACATGGATGAACTTAGAGAGGATTACCTACACTAAGTGAAATAAGTCAGACAGAAGATAAATACCATGATTGTACTTTTATTGGAATCTTAAAAAACAGATGCATAAACAAACAAAAAGCAGAATCAGACCTATAAATACAGAAAACAAACTGATGGTTGCTAGAGGACTGGGAGTGTGGGGATGGGCAAAATGGATGAAAACAAGTGGGAGACACAGACTTTCAGTTATGGAATAAATAAACCACAGGAATAATAGGTACAGCATAAGGAATATAGCCAATAGTATTGTAACAGCATTTTATGGTGACAGATGGTAGTTACACTTGTGGTGAGCATAGCATAATGAATAGAGTTGTTAGATCACTATGTTAGGCACCTGTAACCATGTAACATTGTATGTCAACTATACTCAAGAAAATTATTTTTATAAACCTCAAAGGAAATAATACAATTTAAGCAAAATAAAACAAAACTTTTGTGATGATTCATATTCACCATCAATAAAGAATAATATTGTCCAAATGTATACAATAAATTGTAATTGCTTTACTTGACCACTTAGTTAATTGTTTTTCACTAAATAGTTCACTAAATATAAATTTCAAAAATAATTTTTCACTAAATAGTGTCATTTGAGACTTGGTCATTAATAAAATTATAATATATTTTCCCCACCAGTTTTTAATTATAAAATGTAATTTTATAAATAAAAGTTTTTAAATATATTTTCCATGAAGAGTTCCATATTCAATTTTATTTTATTTTTTTAATTTTTTTTAACGTTTATTTATTTTTGAGACAGAGAGAGACAGAGCATGAATGGGGGAGGGGCAGAGAGAGAGGGAGACACAGAATCGGAAGCAGGCTCCAGGCTCTGAGCCATCTGCCCAGAGCCCGATGCAGGGCTCGAACTCACGGACCACGAGATCGTGACCTGAGCTGAAGTCAGACGCTTAACCGACTGAGCCACCCAGGCGCCTCCATATTCAATTTTAAAATATAATATTATAACATTGAACAAAGGCATTTTAAAATAATAAATTTAGATGCTAATTATTTTGGTGAGCTCATCTTACATTGAGCTTTATTTTAAAGTTGTTCTTTATTTTGTATTATGGCCCTAGGCTATTGCTCTTACAGAAGAAATTCCTTCCACCATTCTTGTCCACAGGATATCTCCACCCACCTACACTATCTCCAAGGTAAATAGATTGTACTTGACAAAACCTAATATTGGCTCTTTTCTTAGATCCATAGATTTCTATTTTCCATAGATTTCTGTCTCCTTACCTCCCAATATCCACAAAAAAATATCACCAACTCAAGCTATAGGAAAATAAAAAAATAACTCTTTTCCACAAAAATTTTGAGGCCCTTTCTTCTAATCTACTCCTCTTATTAAAGTATAGGATAAGTGGAACACTGACATACCAAGCAATTCAAGTTCACAAAATTATTTTATGAAAAAGTTGGACCTTGAATCCATTTTGGCAAATGGCCCATGCCCTGCTTTGTTTGGAGTTTTGTTTTTTTCTTTCTTTCTTTTTTTTTTTGACTTTACTAGTTACCCTCAATTATCTCCTCAGTTTTACTCTAGAGCGACACACCTTATCTGTGGTGTTTCCTTTTCTTAACACATATATGTATGATTCTAATAAACATTTTACTGTTGTTGCATATTGTGATTAGATAACTTCCATGAAATTATTGGTGTAGTAAAAGCCTAGAAGAAACGCAAATGCATTTCAGTTATTAACTGTTATGTAAACTGTTATTTACTTCTTAAATTGAAGTTACAATTGTAAATTGTAAAATACGTTGGATGTATAACAATGTGCTTGAATTTTTATTAATAATTATTATTTTTATGGAATATATTATTTGCCAGCTGATGTTCTAAGAACAAGAATTCATGCTCTGCATCAGCTCTCAACAACAGAACAGAATATGAATGGAGATCTAACTCCTAAGCTCTTTCCATTGCTGCATGAACACTTGACTTGTTTCCATATTAAGAAGAGCAGTGTCTACTTTCTATATGAAAAGATTCTTAAATGCAATCAAATTTATTCATTTCCTCCTTCCATTTGTGTCTCAGAATATTGAACTCCCACAGCTCATCTCCAAACAAGCTTTTTCTAAGATGTTTTGGTTCAGATTATTGGATGGTTTCATTATTTTGACAGAGATTTTTTTAAAAAAAATACTATTGTAACCTTTCATCCTAAAGTATATAACATTTATGGTTAATTTTGATGACTAGAAAGACAATTCATTCATAAGTAATGCTACCAGTCATATAAACTGTTAAGTAGAGGTCAAAGGAGCTTTGTATTTAGCACCTTTGCAGAATAGAAAGTGGCATTTCATCTCTTGTTGCACCAATATTGGTGCAGTAACTTTACTAATATTGGCTAATGTAGGTCTCCATTTCAAATAAAGTTTGTAACTCAAATATGATCAGGTGGACATTACAGCAATATTATCTCTTTCTGATTCTCAGAAATTTTATAATATACAACCAAATAATATATTATTACTTTTTTATATGGATAGGGTAATCCTCTGATAGCAGCATCAAAAATTTTTTAAAGTCCTCATATTTTAAAGTTCTCATATTCCATGTTAGTGGAAACTTCAATATCCCTACTGAGATAGTAACTCAGAAATGTATATTTCAGTCACTGAGGGAGAGCTTTCAATGGGCATGCAGTTTTAACTCAAAATGGAATGTAATATTTAATGCATAAGTATATATCTACTTAGGCAACATTGTAATAGATGAAAATAATCAGAGGAGAATCTTAATAATGGAAAAATAATGTCTTAAATTTCTGAAATCTATCCCTCCTTGCCTATATCAGAAATGTTTTACATTCTTTTGGCTCATAATTCAAGAGTGCATTAACAGAGTTCTGAATTCAGAGTTCAGAATTTGCCAGGAGTCATGGATTGATTTTACCTTCGTTTGTATCTTACCAACTGTGTGAAATTACTTTTTTCTTTATATTTTAAGAAACTTACAGTTTCTTTGGTGATAATTCAATAGTATTCCTACTGCTAAAACATCTTGATTCAATATTAATATTTTATATGCAAAGCTTAAGATTTTATCATTTAATTAAAATTTTATTGTGTATATACTACTACTAGGTCTTTTAAAAATAATGGATATGCTTGCATTAGATACTATAGAAATAAAACTTTTCAATAGTAAGTCAGATACTAGAATCAATGCTACCTACACAACGGATGAAACTAAATGCACACAGTATGTTTACACCAGACAGTAACCAAAAAGACAGTAAATTCACTGAATCTTATAAATCAGGCCATTTCCTAAAGTTTTTGGTACACACATGAGTAATTTACATATATTTTGGTTTTATGTTTTGAGGACTGACTTATGAGACCATACAAAATGGAAAAAGAAATCTCAGAATATTTTTAGGTTACATAATATCACTTATTTAATATGGAAGAAAGTCTAAATAAGATATATTTATACCTATACCACATGTGTGTGTATACACACACACACACACACACACACACACACACACACACTTTTATATATAATATAGATATTCTATACATATTATATATATATATATAATATATACATATATTATATTCTTTAGATATCTTTGGTCTCCCACATGAAATCCCCCACATTCCAAAAGTACTACCTACTTTTATGGAAAGCTAGTTATTCAGAAAATATACTTAGGTTTATGTTATATTCTAGAGATGTTAGATTCCAGGGATCCTATAAAGATGGTGTATCATTTAGGCAAAAGACAGACATGTAAATGAATAAATTACATTGTCTTTAAAAGACTATAAGAATAAACATTTCTATGAAAGCAAATAAGTACTGTCTAATTACGCAGAGAATTAAATAAATGTTAGAAGATACAAAATTGGTGCTTACTCTTAGGGTACGAGTAAAAGTTTGTCAAATAATTAATACAGAACCCAATTAATATAGGACATTTGAGTTTTACCTTGTAATATATGATGGAATCTTGTATTCACAAAGGAGAGAGAGATAATTAGATTGAGGTTGTAGAATGAAAAAATATCTAGAAATAGAGTGGAGGATGGATTTAAGGGAGTAGAGGTTGAAAGGCCAATAATTAGATGACAATTGTAAAGAACTCAGAATGAAGATTATTGAAAATTTATATGGCCTAACTTAAAGCAAGTCCAGTTAGGATATAGAAATGGAGACATATGCAGTATGTACTTGAAGATATATTTTGGTAGCAAAGGATGTAAGAGAAATTCATATAATCAAATGCTGGAGATTATCCTGACCTATGGGTGTAAGCTGGAAGACTCAGAAAGTACTGAAGAGTAATGTACAAATGAAGTGAACAAGAAAGAGTAATATCATAGACACTGAAAAAGAACATCAAAGTAGTTCTACAATGGTTAACAGTGTCAAATACCATAGAAGGACTACATAGGATAATGTCTGGAAATGTTGCAAATCAGGAGGTCAGGGTGGACCTGAATGAAAGCACTTGTATAACAGTGGGAATAGAGGTCAGGTTGTATCAGACTGAAAAATGAAGAATAGTTGGAGAAGTAGAATCAGGGAACTGAAGGAGTCTATGATTTCATAACATTTGGCAGTGAAAGAAAAGATGGTAAAAGTATAACAGAGCAGATTGAAGGAATGTTCTCCTGGGTTATGAGTGCTTCGGAAATCTAAGAAGGAGGACCAGTGGAGGAAAAGTGACCAAAGTCTTAGGACAAAAGGAACAATTTCTGAACTGTGACCCTGATGAGTCAGGAAGTGATAGTAATAGTAATTTTCATACTATGTACCAGGCACTGCCCTTCATGTTGTTAATGTTTTAATTATTGCAATCGACTTCAGAACTTTATGAGCTATGTATCTTCATTGTATCCATCTTAGAGATGGAAAAACTTAAATACTGAACTGGCCCAAGTGAGGGAGGGAAAACAAGAGCCCAGGAAGCTGGGAATCAAAGACTGTTCTCTTAACCACTGTGCCCTACTGTTTCTGAGGCCTTTGGAAAGAACCTGAAACACAGATTCTTATCAAATAGAAAAGAAGGAACTGATGGGTGACATCAAAGGTATGTATAGAAGTGAAGTGGAGAAAAAAAAGTGGAGGGGAGAGAAGCTGATTAAATACTTACTTGATAGCTTGTATTTTCCCTATACAGTATAAGGCAAACATCATCTGTTAATGATTAGGCATTTGGGAAAAGGGTAAAAAGTCTGAGAAACGTAGTAAACTCTTAGGGATACCAGACCAGAAAGCTTAAGAACAATTCTGACCATTAGCCATCAACCTCTGTTCACTAAATCATCTTCTCTACATTATCTTAAATGCTTGCAGGAAACTTTACAAGAATTATTATTCCCATTTACATTCATGGCAACTGAAGATCAAAGAGGTTAGGAATTTGCTCAAGATCGCCCAATTAATAAGTATAGAAGTTGGGATACGAATTGAGGTCTACCACCAATGTTCATGTCCATGCTCTTTGACTCTGCCACACTGCCTCAGTAAAGAATAGAAAGAGACCACTAAGGGCAAGTAGAGGCAATGCTGTGAGGTATTGAGGGCACAGTCTACAATGAAAAGCATAACTGCCGCATAGCATCAATCTGCATAGGTAAGCAATGCTCCACACCAACACAAGGCAATGTTTGAACCCACATTAGAAACAGATAGTGGCTGCTTTCGATTGTGGTAGGGAATTAACTGGTTCGGTGAGGATGGTGGAAGCATAAGGGGTAGAGGGAAAAGGCAGAGCCAGGAAGGAGCTGTTAAACTCAGAGAAAGGTGGTAGATTGTGGCCATAAGAACCAACGGCAGGTTGAGAAGAAAAAATAACATGAAGGATCCAAAATGTTGAAAAGAGTGAGATCTCTGAATTTAATATTTTTACAGATGGAGTCCAATAAGGTTGGACTGGCAGCGGAGCTTCTCAAACTCTTAGGCAACTGTTTAACGATTTTCAAGCTTTCAGGCATACCTAGCGACAGTGTTCTTTATTTACCTTAATTAGTTCTAGTGACATCCCAAACACTGCAGAAAAGATTACTTCAGTTTCCATAAGCTAAAAGCTTTATAGAATCAACCTTTGTCCCCCTTGAGTACTGATGTTAAAACTATGAAATCTATTATAATTCCAACTTTTTTAATGTTTTAGAACTT